CACAACAGAAAATTTCTATTTAGTTTTTTTATTTTTTGACATCAATATGCTGTTCAAGGATCAGTAAGATCAAGAAAATATTTCAGTGGCAATGGTCGTGTTGTATATTGCATGTATCCATGGATGAGTTGCCGTAATTGGGCGATGAATTGATCATCTAATGATGTATCTTCTTTTTCAGGTTTTACTAATGTTGGTACAAGCCGATTGGTTACAGGTTGCAATCGTTGCTGCTGGCCTTGTTGTTGTTGTCCTTGTTGTTCACTCTACAATAAATGATAACATAAAATATGTTTCTATTGATTTAGATATAATCATTACTTGTATTGGCACGTTTTCTGATCTTTTGTTCAAAATTCGAGACCATTTGGAATTATTAAATATAATAAATAAATATTGCTGATTATTATTATCAGCTACAGTTGTTGTTGTTGTTGTTGTTGTAGGTTTTTGTTGTTCAGTAAAACTAGATGATTCAATAGGTTCAATTTTACATATATTATTATCAACATGTATTGGATCTTCAGCGAATAAATTCATAATAATTGCATTCAAATTGTTTGAATCATATTCCATCGATGAGCGATTATCGTTGATCAATGAGTCGAATCTAGAAAAACAATACAATAGAAAACAAAGTAAAGAATCTATTAACAATATAGGATGAAGTTTAATGAAGTTTAAATTCTATGTCTAATGTATAGTATCAATGTTCACATGATTATATATGTATACAAAGACAAAACAATAACAACAAAAAAGAACGAACAGTCTAGGAGAAAACATTCGATTGATCTATCGTCGCTGTTGTTCGATGTTCGATAAATCGAAAACCAAATTAATAGGATATAATCGTCGAGTTCGTTGAAGGTATGCTCGAATAGATTCTTCTAATTCGAATCGTAATGTATTATATAATATTGTTTCATGTTCTTCTGTATGAGCTAATCCAAAATGAATTGGTATATTTGGTACCAACATACCACCTCGCAACCGTTGTTGCCATTGCTAGAATATAATAAAGAAATTTCGATAAAATGGTATTTTCCATTACCTGATTCGGTGACTGTTGATAATGTTGTGTGCGCTGCAACAGATTCGGATAATTTGTTATAGTAATAAGAAAATATTGGTTTCCTGTAGCTGTTGCTGGTTGAACATAAAGTTCTGGTTGATTGGATGAAGCCATTACTAATCGTTGATAATCTACAAGAAATAGACAAATTATCACAGTTCACTTCAATTTAGTCTAACAATATAGAGAGAGAAGCATAGAACAAAGAAGTACAAAATACAAAAAACTATCGTTTTTCCTTTTTCTTTTTCATTCGAGTGAATGTGAGCTTGTTCGCTTATTATCGATTAGGGGTGTGAATTTATTGTTATTGTTATTAATAACAATAACTTTTTTGTTATTGTTATCAATAACAATAACTTTTTTGTTATTGTTATCAATAACAATAACTATTTTTGTTATTTGTTATCAATAACAATAACTATTTTTGTTATTTGTTATTAATAACAATAACTTTTTTGTTATTTGTTATTAATAACAAAAAAATAACAAATAACTTTTTTTTTCCTGATGAACATTGAACTTCAATTGCTTTCTAACGCAACTATATCAATTATATTAGTCTATGTTTAAGGAATAAACATGGTACTGTTATGATATCCATCGATTTAGAAGTTTGAGCATTTACATAGATCATATATAGATGAAGATATTTTACATGTTTTCTACTGTTTACAACAATAGAAAGTGATTGAATTCTCTAGAAATTTTTACGATTTCAATCCATTAAATCCATCTTGTTACAATAAATAACAAAAGTTCAGATAATTGCCTAAACTCAGGAACAATGTTCATTTTGAAATATTTAAT